ACAACAACAACAAAAACAATACAATTCTAAGGAATGACCTTGGAGCATTTATATTTTTAAATAATTCTGTTAATAGGTACTATAATCAAATCAGCAAGTTTCCGTAACCAAATAGTGAATCTATTTAAGATATTTTCTTGTACTAAATTAATTCAAATTGTTCATTTTCTTAAAGTGTTCTTGAAATATGTTAAAAATTTATGAATAATTGCAAATAACTGCAAGGTTTGTCGTCTGCCTGTATTAGCTTCAACTACCTAGCGGGCAGCTGCGTTTGTAGCTAATGTAAAAGTGTGTGAAAGCGAAATGCTGATGGAATCAGATCAAACATTTCACATCGTAGACTTTTTCCGGGATTATTGGTTATTGGATATTAGCTTTTTTTTTTTGTTTTTGTCAAGTGTTCAGCCTTGATCAGATATGTGTCTACCATGACGGTTTATTCTATAACTGAACAATTTTACCACATTTCGCAAAGGTATGCGCGGGGGCCGCTCCGTTTCTCGCCTCCAACTACTGATAAAAACCGAGTTATCCTTTTGAAGGAATAAAAGTTAAGAAAGAAGGTTTTCTTGGTGAAACAAAGCGGACCATCCTAAGCGAGCGAGAAAGGCAAATCTACTGTCTGGACTTGTAATGTGTTCCCTGATCTAATTTCTTAACAGTCTATCAATTATCTTTTATCCAAGAACCTATGCAAACAATCATATGTATTCGACACAATAAAGATTTATTTCATAAATGGTCCTGTTTGAATATTATGATACAGACGCCAAAAAGCCCAACGGATAGGCACTCACAAGACCTCTTCATGATGTTGGTATGACTACAAGTTAGCATTATGCAAATAACCCTTTAACCCGTAAGAGTGACAAGGTTTTAATTTCTCCTTACAATATCACCCCTGAATAAAAAGTCACGAGAATAAAGGAAATGATCAACAACTAACAAAGCTCTTGATGGTTTTACAAATTCTCCTTGTTAGAACCTGGGGAATGTATAGAGAATAGTATAGAGAATATGCATAATGGTGTTAGGGTGTAAAGGGTTAAGATGTTGTTTGATGAACAACCAGTATGGTCAATTACAATTACAACATCGAACAATCGATCTATTCCATGAAATAGATTTAACCGAGAATTTGCTACCTTTTCAGTAAGAGAGGGAGACAGAATGCCGGACAAAGCGTGCATACATCTACACATGGGGTTCAAGGCATTGCACCCAACCTCTCACTATGTTGCTGACATCTTATCTATTCTTGACCTTATATAATCTGAGACTGGACAAGAAGACTGTGAACTGTTATGAGGTCATAGCTCCTCCATATCGACCTGAAAACACAGCAGCTGGAAGCGCATGCGCCGTTTGAAAGTTGTCATCAAAGCTTCTATTAATCTGTAACAAAGGAACATCACTATCATATACCGTGCCTTTCAAAACAAGGAAAAAATGATCTAAAAAAACAGAAAAGTTCTCATGTGTTATAATTAACTGTCCGCAGAAAACTTTACACCCAAAATTGAAGTGTTTCTCAGTGTGTAAACCACGGGTTCCGTATGGTTGAGGTATTAACATATGCAATACTAGGTAAAATAGTAAAAGACAGGTGAGAAACTCGGCATGCATTGCATCTCACATCTAGATGTTAGGCAGTAACTCGTTCCCACTCTTCCTTTTTGATTGCGAGAAAAGCTAACAAGGTTCGGCAATCAGCGATACATTCATATACACAGGGAAGCATTCTCACCCCTCTTTCTACAATTTCCGCCCCCAAATACCCTTCTTGTTCACTCCCTGAGTGCGAAGACCTCATGGTCCACCTCACCTCTTATCTGAATCTTTAGTAATGCTGGGCACCTTACTGAATGCGGCTTGGAATAAATCCCTGAAATACAACACGATTTCTTAACATCAAATCCTGTGAACTGAAACAGAAGCTTAAAGGATAGGAAACCAAATGTCTATCCTGTACACTTAAAAAGAACAAAACGAAAGATATATTAAGCAAAACATATGTTAATTCAGATTATTGATCATGAGCCTTAGTTGCACCCTAAAAGAGAGGAGACTTTACAATAGAAGATCTAAGGAACTGACAAAAAGGAAGAAAGAAGCTTTCCCATGAGCACAACTCCTAATACAGAGTAAAAACAAAACAAACACACCTAGCATACTGTGAGAGATAAGCTGTTAGTGCTTCTTGAATAGCTTGTGCCTCCAAATGTGCCTTAAAAAAAAAAGGATGCTGTTAATCAAATGTACAATTCCTGATCAAAGAGATTAATGTGTTCTACTCTTTTGTTTGGAGGACAGATGAGTTTTGTTGGTACACATTACTTGAGAGATGACAGTAACAAACAGGTCTTAATAAACTAAGCCATAGAAAGTACAGCCAATCAGAATACAGAAGGACTTTTGCATATTAAACACTTCCACACCCAACTTTCTGATTGTGCAAAGGATGTTGTTCCTACAAAAATTTATCGAGAGCTACCACCTCTAGTTTTTTTAAGGGTTTAACTTAATAACTCTGTTTGACACATATTCTTCGAACTGTGTCCTGAGTTAAAAGAAGGTGGAAAAAATTAAAAATTCTTAAAAGAGTTCTGAGAACATTGTCAAGATTTTATTAAATACAAACACTCTCCTGCATTATAACTTGGATTACCTACCTTGTAATATTTAAAAAGTAATATTTTTTCTGTATATAGACGTGTCTAGAGGTGTGTGTGTATAAAAGGAAATATGGGTGATCTGTAGGACATTGCATGACAGTTGACTTTGGTATATACTCCGGGATAAATGACAAAGCTAGACTATTGTGTGTCGTAAGGGTCACGAATTTGAGGCAGATAGATTATTATCTAAGTTTACTCCATCATAGAGGTCACAGAGAAATTTTGTTTCTTCCTCTGTATGCACTCATAATATAAACCCAACGACCATCTTTTTTGTTCGAGTGTGAGCTCAGACAGTCGACCTAGACTAATTCAGAATTATACAGTCTGTTGTCATGACTCAATGGTTTTCAAGTTCAAGAATCTCAGGTTTGAAGACATAGGAGCCTCATAGCAATGTTTTCCTATGATAAGGATACAGCCATCAGATTGTTTGGTAAAACTTACAGCAAATTCTCAGCTGATTTTAAACTAAGTTGAAATAAAAAATACATTTGTATTTAACTTACAGTAACAGCTCCAGCTGAAGTAAATGTTTTCACCCCACTAATGAGCTTGCAGAACTCATCTACCAACATGTCAGTCAAACGGGACAACACCTGACTTACAAGCTCCTCAGATACTGCAAACACCTGAGGTAAAAATACAAAAGCTAACTTTAGAGCTACAATCAAATGCTAAAAAAAGACCATCTATTTATCTTTACTCTCATCCCTTTGCATTGGTTGGCCTGTAATCTCTTTCTCCACACTGTTCCCTGATTTTCCACTAGTTGGTATTTTTGCCTGTTTGTCTGCTTTCCTATACTTGTTTACCTCTCTGCATTTGTCTGACAACACACCTGCTTTCCAGCCATCTGTTAATAGAGGGTGTGTCTGTGTATGTGTTCATGTTTGTTTACCATTCTGCTGCTTTGTCTGTTTGTTTGTGTGTTACTTCTGTTATTCTGTCTGCTCCTTATTTTGCACTGCAGCAACTTCTCAGCATTATAAGATCAGGTTACACATACTGCCACCCACCTGTGCATGTACAGTAACCAAGTTCATTATAACATCTTTAACATAGCTGCGCACATCTGCATAACCACAAAAGGGAAAAAAACTCATAAAAATGCTTCTGAAAGTCAAGAAAAGCAATCACACACAAAGCGAAGGAGTGTTTTTTAACACAGTCTACTGTTGACATTTCTGTATCCTTGTACCTTTTGGAGGAAGACAGTTGTGCCATTTGAAGTCACCTATTGTCATCCCAGACTCCACATGGGTCAACAGTGGCTCAGCTTTCTGATCAATGTATTCCTTGAAGATTTTGTTTTCCAAATCACACAATTCACTGGTGAGATCCTTATGACAATGAATGAATGATTGTTATGTAGCATTCACTCATTGGAAATAAGCAGCAAAGTGACAAGTAAATATAAAGAAACCTATTGACATCTTTTTTTAGCCATTTTTGAACCAAAGTTTGGAATAATAAACTAAGAAATATATCTTAAGTAGAATAATACATAATCATGACACATGTTGATGTCAACATTTATTAGAAGCATTGACTTATAGCTAACCATGCCTGCAGGTTGTACTCACTCCATTTAGTAAGTGAATTATTTCAGAATTGACTTGGAAAAAACAAAGAAACAAAAAAACGAAAAACAAAAAAGTGTGACTGCCTTGTACATAGAGTATCTAGTTACAGGCTTTTGGCTTCACTAACTTTGTATGCTTATACATATTCAAGTACACCAAAGCTGATTTTCAAATACACTGCACAGTGTACTTTTTTTACAGTTAAATTACCTTTTTAAGCTTGTCACTGATAGGATAGTCGTTATTTCTAAAGCTGTCCACCAGTTTTGGAAGGACATTGATTCTTACATATCGACAGTTATTGAGCACAATCAGC